AGTCGTCACCTGCACATGCGTCAGATGGCCATAGCGTGTATTGTTTACAAACAAGCGTCTACCCATGAGCCTTTGCGTTTTTAGCGTGTGTTGTTATCGTCGTATGAAAATTGTACTTTTATTATTTTGGTTGAAAATGAAACATATGGATTTACTACCACTCATCTTTTATTAATTCCATAATTTTATTAATGAGCCTTCAAAAAATATATATGACACGCCCCGAACCCCCACTAATCTTTAACCATGTAAACATGTTGGTTTACTAACACATACCCCCACCCAAACCAACCCCCCCCCCCCCCCACCCCCACCCAGATCATTTGAGATTCTACAGGTAGGGTTAACTTGTATAACAATATATTTTGATTTTGATTATTTACCAGCTACTTGTATGCACCCTCCTTAGATTTCATTGGTACACCCCTTAATGGAAGAATTTTGAGATATCAATGCAGTGTCTGGAACACAATACTTAAAATAGTTGAGGTCTGACTTACCTGTCTAATGCTTGCTCTATTCTCAACATGATTATTGAGGCAAGCCTGACATAAGCTATCGTATTGTTGGATTTCATCAACATCACCACTGTGTTCATATCCACTGATAACAAACGGCAGCATTAAAGAACCTATAATAAAACAATTAATATTAATTATCAAATCAAACACATAAATATTGATCTAGCTTCTCGCAGTATCTTTTTAGGGAGTTGGAACAAAATATTATGCTATTGAAATTAAAAAATAAATAGTTGATATTTTATTTTATAGTTCCACTCCCCATACAATGTATGCTCTCCTTGCTAAGCAGTAAATGATTGATTGATTGATTGATTGATTGATTGAGTGAGTGAGTGAGTGAGAGTGGTTAAGTGAATGAGTGAGTAACTGAGTAGTGAATGAGTGAGTGAGCGAGCAAGCGATTGAATGAGTGATTGAGCGAGTCGTGAATGAGTGATTGAGCGAGTAGTGTATGAGTGAGTAACTGAGTAGTGAATGAGTGACTAAGTAATGAGTGAGTGAGTGAGTGAGCGAGCAAGCGATTGAATGAGTGATTGAGCGAGTAGTGAATGAGTGATTGAGCGAGTAGTGAATGAGTGAGTAACTGAGTAGTGAATGAGTGACTAAGTAATGAGTGAGTGAGTGAGCGAGCGAGCGTGCAAGCGATTGAATGAGTGATTGAGCGAGTAGTGAATGAGTTATTGATCGAGTAGTGAATGAGTGAGTAACTGAGTAGGGAGTGAGTGAGTGAGTAACTGAGTGGTGAATGAGTGAGTGAGCAATTGAATGAGTAGTGAATGAGTAACTGAGTAGTGAATTAGGGAGTGAGGAGTGAGTGAGCATGCATGCATGTGTGTGTGCTTGAGTAATAGGCGAGTATAACATAGTAATAATAAAAACCTGAGTTCTCTAAACATCCAACAACAAAGTTTTCAAATTGTTTGATTCCTTTGATATGTCCTTGTTGAAAGGCTGCCTCAAGTCCCATACTGTAAGAAAAGCCACCAGTTGGAAAAGCTGAAAATAGAAGAGAATTATCAGTATTACTTGATATGTGTTTGTGCGGGAAATATCAATGAATTAGGCGAGGGTTCTCCGAACCCGTCTATTCACATAGTTCATACCCACCATAGACTCCGGTCAGTCAAAATGACTATTTTGAACTGCAGGCATTAATCAGCGATTCTGCCGGTGACGGAGAGATAGAATCCAGGTCAGGGGAAGCCCCATGACCTCAAGATTCTTTTATCCCTTACGTCACGAACCCACGTGACCGAGGCCACCTGGCAGCACCACAGGTAGCCGTCCTTCACTCTGGTTCCTTTCTCTCCGCCTCGAGGACTTAAACCAACGCGACGGAAAGAGTGGGGA